ACGAATCAATCGAGCCGTTTATCCGCAAAGGAGTTTGCGCGGAGGTGACGCTTACCTACCGACAAGCCGCGAGGTCGAGGGGTCGCGACCTCCGACCTTATTGGGCGACCTTTGCCACGCCCCCCGCCTTGCTGAAACCACTGAACCTCTGAAAAGGACGGAATGAGGACGCCAATTAAATTATATGTACGTAAACGCTTATATAGTTAACTTGATGTATTTGTGACGGATATAATGTTTCACTACGATAATGTATTATGCCTTTGAATTAGTTTGTATGTTGATTAATATTGACTGATAAATGGTTACACGTAGCTATTTATTATATTTGCATAATAATATATAGGAATAATTTAAGGTATTGTTTTACTGTGTTATTATCTATTTAATATATCGTACAGGTACAGGTCACCATGTGGTGGTAAGGGGCGAATAAGGAAGGGCGAGGGTTGGGTAGCAGCGTCCCTTCTTAAAACAGAGATGGCAACCGCATGGCATGGAACTTAATGGTTGAGGGATGGGCAGCAGCGATTCTCTCTAAACATCACCAAAGCCCAACTGCGGTTGCCAACCCGTTTGTCAAGCGTGACAACTATTGGCAAAGGCTCCCTTATGGGGAAGGCCTATGTTCAGCAGTGGACAGTTAGCGGCTGAATTGACGCTGATGATGAAAGGAAAGAAAAAAACCTCCAAATAAAACTACAATAAGAGTAAGGTGTGATAATAGAAGATCTTTCTATCATGGAGATAATAAACAATTCGTGCTAAGAAGTAGGTCATTAATGAATTTCTAAGAGGAAAGGGGTAATAGCCTCTTATGAGGACAATCTATGTTCAGCTGTAGTCAGAAAATGGCAAAAAAATATCTTTTTTTTTTTATACAACTTAGTATGGCAAACAAGCTAACGGCCCACCTGATGGAAAGTGGTAACCGTCGCCTATAGACATGAGCAGTACCATGGACAGAATAGAGTATACTGTTTCGACCATGATATCCCCCATGCGTTGCCATTCTTGAGGACTCAGGTGTTATTTCTCTGTACTCTGTAAATTCACTGGCATATCCCACCCTTTGAATCGAAACACAGCCATTCAAACACAACTGTTTCACCGTAGAAACACGAATGGGACAGAGGTACCCAAGCAAACGACTTTTATTGATAAAATTAATTATCGATGAAAGAAAGGAAGGAAAGGTCACAGTTTTTCTACTATATTCCACTAAGTTGCCACAGTGTTTAGCCCTAATACAATGTAAGCGTTATCATTTCCTAATCCGTGTCAAAATCGTCCGTTTGGCAAACGAATATAAAATAAATCAAGCATTGTCCATTCACGTCCATTCTATCGCGACGGTTGCCGAAACAATAGATGCACGGTGCGTAGCCGACGGTTGGCGACTCCTGACCTTCTGCACTGGTCGAGCCCACCTGCCCTATATCTTATTTGTTAAGTTTTAGTTTATACAGACACTGATTTTTGTTAGTATGGACAATTTTTTAGATTTATATTTAATTTGTATTCTGAAATATAATTTTTCTTATAAAGATATGAATAGACAAATGGTGTGTATTAATATAATTTTTCCTTTGTTTATTTATAAGATACAACAGCAGTATGAATAGAAAATATACGGGCGATGGTAGTCAGAAAGGATTCTTTGTAAAAAAAACTTATGTTTCCCTACACAATTTATACTATGTCTGTTGTATAAGTTTACGTTTCTTTACAAGGAACATTTCGTTTGATTTCTGTTTATATAATGCAGGCCTACTTTTAGAAATTGACAAATGAATAAAATAATTATAATGAATGATGCTTCACATGCTTGTAATCACATGATCACTTCGATAATTTCAATTTTTTTTTATTTTTTTCACAACAATGATATATTTCAATATACTACACAAAGGTTCTTTGAATTATTACGAGAATCAGGGATTCATTCCTATGAATCATCCCTATCGTGGTAAACAACTATGTCTAGTTAAGTGAATGTTTCAGAATACTAGAGATTTCGTGAAATACTGAGAGATATCACAAAAGATGTTTAATTATATATTGCTCCATAGACGTGAATAAAATTTTTATGCACTTCCTAACTTAGAGGTTTACGTAGTCTTTGCATATAGTTCTAGAGATGTTAAATATATACTCCTACTTATAGTTATTAAATATTTATTAAAAACAAAATGTCTATCAATCAAAATTTCAAATATGAAGAATATAGGGTTGTCACCGCGCTGGTGTCACAGTGACCAACTGTGCATTCACTGAAGTGTGACGCTGTGATTGTGTGGATAGGGACGACATTCCGTCAGTGACAGCCCTTAACCAGGTGCGTGGGGTTATTATCGATGCGGAGTTCCGCGGGGGTGCAATTTAGCAATCATCAAAAAGTCACCCATCGTATTTGTTATTTTAATCAAATTTTATTTTATATTAATTTAAATACAGTATATACATATTTTAAAAAAGGTATTAAGAATGAATATGTGACAATCGTCTTGTTTTCCTAGGATTTATTCTGATTTTTGGAGTGTCCTGGGGTATCTTGGATATATTTTAAGCAGCGTTTTGAGCTTTCAAAGCGTCCTGATAAAGTCATGCATTTTTAAATTCGCGCACATTTTATAATTTTCGAATATTTTTCGAAATAGGTACTTTTATAAAAAAAAATATTATTATTATTCGAATTAAAAAAAAATATGAAAACTATCACAAAAAATACATGTGAATCGAGAGAATTCTGTATTTGAAAGTTGCTTGAAAATGGAAATAAACATTAAAAACTATTTCTATTGTTGACAAGTAAATAATATTTAAATCACACCTGAACGTTAATTAGCAATGAATACAGTCTCGATTACATATAGTGCGCTATTCCCACGCGTGGGACTTGTACAAAAATCACGGATCGCGTGTAAGGTGCACCTGTTGCGACACGCGATACGTTCCGTTCTCACAATACAGGTACATTTTCGATACAAAAGTATATTATTGGCTTAAGTTATATAGATAGAGTGTCTCCATAGAAATGCTCCGAGAAAAAGGCGTTAACTTTTTCATACAATTTTGCGTTAAAATAGTTATGAGTGATTCTTTTATAACTTCTATATTTATTTTGTTTTATAAATTCTGCATCTTTTTAATGTTAAATGCTCATTTTATTTATTGAATAATACGTTAAGATACATTTTATGCGTAATTATATAGAATACTGATAAAAAAAAACGCGTCATCTAATTTGATAATTAGCTGACAAAAAGTTATCCCGTTCTTGAGGCGCGATGCTCTATCTATATAATTTAAGATCAATGGTATTAATGAATTGAAAGTACTTATTGGCAAATCCTATCCTATTAGTTCTATTATTATTTTAATTATAACTGCGAATATTTGTCATGATGTTCCGGAATGGATGGATGTTTATTACTTTGTCACGTAAAAACTACTGAACGTATTCAAATGAAGTACATAGAGTTGTTTATATATTGATTCATGCATACGAAACCGCAGGAATAATATTATAAGGGTAACAGTTTTGATGTTTGGATGTTTATTACTCAGTTATGCTTAAACAGTTGAACGGATTTTTTTCATACCACTGAGGTGGCAAACAAGCATGCGACCCACTTGGTGGTAAGCAGTTACCGTAGCCTGTAAATGTTATGGTAAACCCACCTGCGCTATCGGTATACACTGGCGGGGCACCAGTGAGAAATGATTGATGAGGATGAAAGCAGGTCAGTTAGCCCATCCTGACAAATTCAACTAGAATTAACAACGATGGTTTACAGGGGGAATCGTGTGGAGGCCAACCTGACAGGAGATATTGCAAATAATGGGGTTGTTTGACCTTTTCCTCCTATCAGGGGCATTACGCGCGCGTTGTCAAACCTGAAGATCCCTTTTTTGAAGAACTCCATGCTCTAGATTTGATTGCAATTTGGGTAATCGATTACAAAATGGGTATAGGTAGGCTATATCCTAACTCAACATATAAGATACTTTATTGATCAATTCACGCGTACAAAGCCGCACGATACAGCTAGTAAGAAATAAATCTTGGCTGTATAGTCGAGTTCCTTGGCCTATTTTTTTTTATTAACTGTAATGTATTCGAACTTGCTGTTCATACATTACATTACTTGTATCTTCTGGCCTTCATATTAATCAGTATTAGTAGTTGCATCTACAATTTAGTTGTCTATTGTTTTTTTTTGCCAACTTTTCATGCCCATATGACCTTTACACGATGAATTTGGTGACGTAGCGGCTAACACATTGACTCAAGTTTTGACGGTCGCGGAGTCGATCCCTGCACATTCATCATTGCATTGTACTGTATGTGTGTATTTATGGATGTCCATTGGTGTCTGGTCCCGTTCAGTCCAGGCATAGAATAGGACCCTCCTTTCTTTCCAGTGGGTCTCGTAAGAGGCGACTAAGGGAATTTAATGTTCAAGAGATGAGCAGCAGTGACCTTTTTAAAGCATAACCAAAGCGTAACTGCGGTTGCTAACCCCAGGCGGATTAACGTGCCAAGCGTGGCAACTACTGATAAAATCTCCCAAGCTATGTATGTTCAGAAGTAGGCAGTAAACAGCTGACAAGATGATGATGACATAGTCATATAAATCGCTTGGTCCTCAAACTAGGATACCCTCTAATAAGAGTATCCATGCAACGAACCATTTACCAGAGGGAGACTTTGTACAAAAGTCGTTTGCTTGGGCACCTCTGTCCCGTTCGTGTTTCAACCGTAAAGCAGTTATATTTGCATGGCGTGAATTTACAGGGTACAGAGGAATAACACCTGAGTCCTCAGGAATACTCTGTTATGTTCATGGTACTGCTCATGTCTATAGGCGACGGTTACCACTTACCATCAGGTGGGCCGTCAGCTTGTTTGCCATTCTAAGTTGTATAAATAATAAAAGCGTCGTGCCCATTACTATGTTACGGAATTCATCACGAAGGGGAATAAAACAAAAGTATCAAAATCCATAGAGACATCTTTTATTCGTCAATATTACGCATCTCCATACATCTTACGTTCTCAAACACACCAATTGTATATTACAACCTCTGTACAATTATTGCGAATAAATACATTGCTTCTCTTTTTCATTCTTTGTTTTTCTTTACATTTTTTTTATGTGTAACTATATCTGTCTTTGTCTGACATTTTAGTAATCTATTGCATACGAAACACCTTTCTTTATGAAGGGTTTCGATTGAAATATAAAATCTTTTATGTATGTAAATTATTTCGCGGAGCAAATATATTCATCAATTGCATACAACTACACTTTTTGTTCAATAAAATATCAACAAGAAAATTAAATGCATAGATTACCACATGATGTATAATATAGCACACTCAGTAAACTAAATATAGAAAAAAGGAAAATAATAATAATAAAAAAAAACAATAGAAATATAACGAAATACAAAAATAAAATTAAACATATTAAGTTTGGTCATTTACTGCACTGGTATCGATTTTATTATTTATTGCAAATTTGTTATTTTATTTTCACATAAATATTGTAAGATATGTGACTAAAAATAAATAAAAATTTGACTTTTCTGGTTTTATAAGAATATCTCACTATTTTTTTTATATAACACATTATTGGAAAATATTTTTTATAAATGCTAACCGTGCATTTGGAAAACTTAAAAATATTATATATGTATCTACATAGTTATATTTGTGTTAAATACAATCAAATGTTTTTGTATTGTAGTTATTTCCATTTTTCTAAAATATTTTCAAATAATTACAAATATTAAACATGATTGTTACTTTGAAACGAAATGAGAGAAAGGCTAATTCCATCAGTCGTAAAGTATAAATGCTTTTGAGGAATTATTGTTAATATTAGAAACTCCTAATAATTAAGTAAACATTTAGAAAAATCTATACATTTCAATAAAGAATGATAGATTGAAAAATATATAAAACTAAGGAGCACCAGTGATCAAAATTATATATGTAATAATAAAAATAATATGTAAAAAAAAAACTGTAATTTTTCTCTCTTTTATATTACATAAGTAGATTTTAAAGTTTCCAGCGGACTGTTTCTTTTTATTTATAATAAAAAAAAAGGTACATAGTAATTCGTTCGAATTGATGAATCAGAGAACTGTTATACTACACACCGATTGCACGATTACTGTACATATTACATATTTATTGCGCTTCAATCCATGATTGCTTTAAATTTCCTCTAATAAATAAAATTACAATATATCCAAACGAAAGGTTCACGAACATAAAGGACTCTGTTGACTGTCCGGCAACATCCTTCGTAGAAAACGGATTCCGTATCTTGTATCTTATAACATTAACTATACATTAATAAAAACATTTTATTTACAATATTAAATATTAATTATATCCTACATTTTTACAGAGGAACAAAATATAACTTGAACTATGTGACACTACTGACCCCACACTTAACTACGAGTCCATTATTTCATTTCTGGTATAGAACACGAGTCTTGGCTCCTGATGTTCAACAGATTGTCTATCATGATTGAAGTCTTTTGAGCATTTTTCTGGGCCTCATTGGAGGTGGTGGTCGCTTCGAACACCTCCTCGGTCGATTTCGGAGCGTAGAATGCTGATATCGGATCGAAGGTCGGGCAAGGGTCGGCTCTCTCGCTGTCTCTGCTCGTTCTAGACCCGAAGTACTCCTCGGAGGCGGTCGGGGCCTCGGCGCTGTCGTGGAACTCGCTGGATGACGTCACCGCGTCCTCTGGCTGCGGCACCTCGCGCTGGTACCTCTGGAATGGGTCGAAACGCTGACTCGGCAGGTACGGCGGGAAGCCGTAAGGCGTTGATCAGGCCGCCGCTAGCTGACGCCACATCGTGTGTCACATAGTCGCCATGTACGGCCACGAGAACGAATTGCCTGATAGCAGCATGTCCCTTATGAGGGTCTCGATCGGCGTCTTCCCCACCAGCCGTACGAAGAACAGCTGTTCTATGACTTGGGAGCTAACAGTTCGTAATGAGGGTAGCCGGAGGAGGAGTTTTCCGAAGCGCGTTGGCTGGTTGGGGTACTGACTCCTGCAATATTCTTCTAACGCGCACTGCGACTTTTCTTGGAGACTTTCTATGTGTGGTACGTCTGATAGACCGCAGGCATCTGCAAGAAATAGAAAAAAATCTTGTTAATCATGATATAGAAAACTTTAACTACGAATTGGAGACTAGTATCAGAATTGATTAAAGTACGTTAAAAATTTACCAATGGGAGACTCTGTACAAAAGTCGCTTGCTTGGGTACATCTGTCTCATTCGTGTTTTAACCGTGAAGCAATTGTGTTTGCATGGCTGTGTTTCGGTTTGAAGGATAGGCTAAGACAGTGAATTTACAGGACACAGAGGAATAATACCCGAGTCCTCAGAAATGGCAATACATGGGGGGTATCATCGGCGAAACAGTATACTCCGTTATGTTCATGGTACTGCTCATGTCTATAGGTGACGATTACCACTTTCCATTTGGTGGGCCGTTAGCTTGTTTGCCATTCTAAGCTGTACAAAAAATAAAAACGTTAAAAATAAGTGTTTACACTTTTGTATTGGAACTTAGGAACTTGGAATTCCAGCAAGCTGATGATTCTAATGGAATGTAATAAATCGACACTTATGTAATAATAACAGTGTTATACCTCCGTACTCAGTAAGTTCACTGCTATATCCCGCCCTATATACTGAAACAGAGTCTAGCTATCACAGCTGCTGCGTTCATGTCACGGGACACAGTGAAATATAGGTATCTATGCTGACGTCTCCCTAAATAAATAATTACGTGTATAAATCTCCCTTTATTTCAATTTTTGTTTTGTATTATGACAACATTACTCATATTGTGGGTTTGTAACTTTTTAAATATCTTTAATATAATTAAAGATAATAAATATATTTGTGAAATTATCAGTTGTAATGTAATAAATATTACGAGTATGTGTAATTGAATTAGTTCGAGTTGTGAAATCCTCACCGTTTATATACAGCAATAGAAACAGTAAATTTGTTTTATAGCCATTATTTTTGTAAAGGGCAGTTTAAGGAATACAGACGAAGGAAATTTAATGTTACAGAAAAGTATTTTTTGCTACATTAATTTCTTTTACTTCCTGGCAACATTAACCAATGCTATGAAGCGAACGCTTTATATAATGCACTTCTTGTTAAAATATACAGTTATAGTGTAAATACAATATTTTTTTAATAGTTTTTTAACGAGTTTTACAAGGGTGAGTGGTATTAATTTTTGTTTATAATTTTATGTATATACGTTACCTAATATCTTCGTACAAAATCTACGTTTACTATAATCCCATACCGATTTTGTCAAACGTTCAATTTTTAAATGAATAAAAATCAGCTTTTTGTAATTTATGAATTTTATTTAAAATTTAAAATTATATCATTCCAAAATATTTTTTAATAAATGCATATATAAAAAAAGTAATTTGAAAAATTTTCTAAAGACAGTTAAGATTTTTATTATCTCATTAAAATTGCGTCTTAAAAATATTTGTTTGGATGGATAATAATGGAACAAAAACTTGGTTATCTTTTTATTTATTAAAAGAGATTATAACAAAATAAGATTTTGTAGATAAATATAAATATACATACATGGATATGTAGATATAATCTATAATTGCAATGATAGATTGCAAAAATTAAAAACTATATTTTCCATATAAAAAGAATAAAAAAAAAATGTTGCTAAATGTTCAAGTGTAAACGATAATAACTAATTTTATCTATGATTCATCAAGACCCAAAATAACAAGGAAATCCCAAGAATAATCCTTTCCACTGCACCAACCCCAAAAATAAAAACGTATAAACATAATAACCCGTGAATGCTCGCAGGCCGTCTTAATGCGATTAGCCAACCCCCGGTACATTAGACCGATATTGTTGGATACTGGCAACATTAATATTTTTTATTATAGCAAGGAAGAAATGACGCGGTAAACAAAAGGATCATTATGATACCCAGACGCGAGTCTGTGAGGCAATCGTAATAACATTAAGAGAGAATGTCTCAGGTCTCGGCCGATGAGGGAAAAAGTGAATATTTTGATATTGAGAACGATAATAGGCACATAATAATAAAAAAAAATAGAGCATCTATGTGTCACGCTGAGGCTTTAACATTGAAGAAAAAAAAAAAGGAAAAAGAGAGAGAAGAAGTAGTAATAGATTTTGATTTAGAAATTGTATAGATATATCTATATTATACGAAATTTGTTTTTCTATACTTAATTGATACAAATTGGTAATCAATTTTCACATGTCTTTTTATTGAATTAACAGTGAATAAAATGAGCAAAAAGATTTTTGATTCATTTATTGTACAGAATGAAATCGAAATTTAATAAGGATATCGAAAAAATTTATATTTTTAAATTTATTTCTCTGTTCTTCGATCTATGTTTCTATGAACAAGTAATCACTTTCACTGGTCGATATCAGCAATAATATACAGGATGTTATTGCTTATTATTTTTTGTTCCTTTTATGTCTAAATTATTAAATTTTAATAAAAATCACACAAAAAATTTTTGTCGTCTTCAAGTACAGTTCTCAAAACTCACAGATTCGTTATAAAATTTTTTTGAAATAGGTAATTTAATTGCTAGAAGAAGACGTCGTACGATAAAGTCCTACCATGAACGCGACGTGGTACAACCTACGTTAAAACGTCGGTTATAAAAATGAGGTAGTATGTAGGTATTATTTCCTTATAATCACGTCGAGTTAAGTCCCGTAAGTCCCGATAGTGTATATAATAATAATAATATTTATTTCTATCACGATGGCACTTCATTTATTATTTTATACAAATTAGATTATATTAATTTAAATTATATATAAAAATAAAGCACAATCCAAAAATCAAGTACATAATTCCAAATTCAAACAATGTCTAACATGAACTCACTGTATGTGTTGAGAGCGCCACTATTTATAAATTGATAGTTTATACACTTTATATATATATTGTATTTGTACTTTACAAATGGTTTATTTAGATTTACTTAATGATTTGTGCGGAGATACAATTATTATTCTGATTTAATTCTAACGTTCATACTAGATGGCGCTCTGTTCTAAAACACGCTATAATTTAATACCCTAGAAGTCAGGTTCTAGCATTGTAGATTTGAAATATTTAGTACTGTAATAAATTTTTTTACATTATACTCATTCTCGTATGTTGTGTTTCATTTCGGGGATTTTTTGGGCTGTCTAATACCGCGGCGCGTACCCCAACATTGGTCCATCGATAGCCGAATTAAAAAAAAAAAAAACCGCGTTCACCTAGTATATCGCGTCGTAGTGTTAAGACAGTGTGAAAAAAGTGCTACAAGTGTGAAAAAGAGTGGTAAAGTGACAAAGGACCCTATGAACAGTGAGTACAAAAGACTTAAAAGTGAAACAGTGAAATTAATGAATTAACTCTAAAATTAAAATAGTGATTAAAACTTTAAATTTAAATTATTCTGGAACTTAGCATTTAACAGTGAACATTTTATTATAACTAAAGACTTAGAATTTTTTGTATCACTACTATTAAAGACTATGAAAAGTTTTCAATACTCCTAACAATTTTAAAATTTTACTGCATTTGGGACTTTTAAATATTTTCAGTGGACATTCCATTAACTTAGTTTATTTTACTGATATTTGGAACTTAGAATATTTTGCATTGCATTTCAAATACTTTAAAAATATTCTGTTAATGATATACTTGTGGTTTCTTGTGGATTTATACAAATAAATAGATACATTATTTGAGCTTTAAAAATATTGTGTTAATTCAACATGGCAAATTTAATGAGAACACAAATAGAATTACGTAAACAGATAGACAAGACGTTGAAAAACTTTAAGAAGACACCTAAAACTAGATTAACAGAAACATACGCTCAAGTAAAATTAGAAATATTAGAAGATCTGTGGAATACATTTACTCAAAATCATAGAACATTAATGATGACCACTGACATTAATATACAGGAATCGGACTATGTAAAAAATGAAATTTATGATTTAACCGAAGACATTTATACTACTGCGAAGTGTGAAATGAAAGATATATTAAAAACATTCTGTGCTCCCAACCCAACCTTAGATGCTAATCAGAGCACATCTTCACCGTTGAAATCACCTACAGCTATGGCTCCAGAATTCAAACTGCCCCATATCAATATTCCAGTATTTTCAGGAAGGTATTCTGAGTGGATACCATTTCACGATTTATATGTATCGCTCATCCACCGAAATTCAGCACTTATGAATGTGCAAAAATTGCACTATCTCAAGTCGAGTCTGAGCGGAGAGGCAGCATCCTTGTTAAAACACATACCTATAAGTGATGCTAACTATGATGATGCTTGGGCTACATTACAAAAGCGATACAACAACAAACGATTCATTGTTACATCTATACTGAAGAGATTATTGGCACAAAGATCACTATCCACCGAATCAGCAGGATATCAAAAATCTGCTTGACACTACAAATGAATGCCTAAATGCTTTAAACAATATTGGAGTGTACACATTGAGTTGGGACGCAATTATAGTCCATATTACTGTTTCAAAATTAGATGCAGAATCCATCCGATTATGGGAACAACAAATCAATCGAGAGGACGACGGGACTAGCCTGCCAACATTCAAACAACTGTGTGGTTATCTTGAGTCTCGTTTCCGTACTCTTGAGATGTTAGAATCGTCAAAGACTACCTCTAAAGTCAATACACGACAGAACACTTTTCACACCACATTCAAAACCACTTGCAAATTTTGTCAAGGAAATCATTTTATATATCAATGCAAAGAATTTGCTCATCTTACCTATACTGATCGCAAACGTTTTGTCGAACAGAATAGATTATGCTATAACTGCTTGATTCCTTTCCATACCGTTGACAAATGTAAACAAAAAACTACGTGTAGAAGATGTGGTAAGAAACATCATTCATTGATTCACCCCGAAGGCAACACTTTAGATCATCTTTCTTCAGATGCAGGAGAAAGTTCACACATACGAGAAAGTAGACAACCTGAAGTAGCTTCAACACCAGTCAATCACAATGTAGCGACCCATTA